ATAATTCCAGTTGTTGATGCCTTCAGTGTGAATCTACAATGTTCATAGTCATGAAAAAAAATAAAACACATCCAAACTTTTGGTCTGTACTGTACATACATAATATCCTTTGATGAGCACTTACACAGCAAAGTTGTGCTCCCCCTCAACCCTGATTAGCATTTGTATAGCTCACAGCATTTCCATTTACATGTTAAAGCCTCCTGTGGAGGAGGGAGGAGGGGACAACAAACTACCGTCAACAGCCGAATCCCAGAAGTTTCACAGTAATATACAGGGCCGAAAAGAGACAAAAATTACACTTTTCCATGCAGTGTTGTCCGGCCCACTTGAGATCCAATTAGGTTGTATGTAGCCCCCGGACCAAAATGAGTTTGACACCCCTGCTCTAAGCCAAATGATTGACCAGGACTGGCTATGGATACAGCCTCAGGAAAACGGAGCAAAGATCAGTCAACCTCCTCTACATGGATGACATCAAGCTGTACGCCAAGAACGAGAGAGACATCGACTCTCTGATCCAAACCACCAGGATCTACACGCCATGACATCGAGATGTCATTCGGACTCGAGAAATGTAGCAGGATGGTGACTCAGAGAGCAAGGTAGTTCCACACAGAAGGGACGTCACTCCCAGAAGGAACAATAGCAGACGTTGAGGACAGTTACAAGTATCTCGGTATACCACAGGCAAATTGGGCAACCCCGAACAGGTGACGAGGAAAGCGGCAACTGCCACAAATACCGCAGGCGAGGCACATACTGGTACAAAGACAGACAGATGAGACACAGACAGACGAGGCACATACAAAGACAGACAGGCAAGACACAGACGTACAAGACACCCGACAATAAAGAAGACATTCACTCCTATTCTCATTCATACTCACTCCTGGTGCTCACACTCCTTCAATAGGTCTGACTATGTTTGAAATTGATTTTATTTTTATCATTTTAAATATATGGACAATGGTTGGGCTGATTTATAGGGAAACATAAAATTTGTTCCCCATACATAGTTAAATTGTACCATGGTTATATTCTTCCGCTGACAGGGTTCTTTCAAGGCTTAAATAATATTTTAAGGAAGGACTTCCATTTAATCTAATCCTTGGAACGTCTCTGCTTTTCCAGTTTTGTAGGATTATTTTTTGTAAAACCAGTGAGGAAACAATTATTTTTGCCATCCCATTGGATATCTAACTTTGTCCATGTGATCTGAAGTAGACAAACTTTAGGCGTAAGGACAAATTTCTGCTTACAAAGCCATGTTTCAATGGCTGTCCGGGAATCTTCGTATAATTCTCACAATACCAAAAAGCATGGATGAGCGAGTCCCTCTCATCGCATCTCAAACATGTGCGAGCAGATGAGGAAATCAAATGTATGTATTCTATCCTCTACTATAGTACATTATAGTCATTAATTTTAATTGGATCAATCTGAGGTTTTTATTGGTGGTGGCGGAGAATGTGAGCCGTAATCCATCTTTTTTCCATTTTTTTTCAGTATCAGAACTGTTCCTGTCCCATGTCCTTGTTCCCAGTTTTCATATAATTTTCTTAAAAAGATCCTTACTGCTCTTAGGTGTGATAAGCAATTGGTATGGGGTAGAAATTCGTTTCTTCTGTTTGTCTCGTTAAAATATTTGTCTTAATTTTTCTGGGACTAACATCTTAGTGTCGCAATGTTCTTTTAATCCAGTTTTTCAGTTGCATATATTTTAATACTTCAGAGTTATTAAGTTTGAATTTCACCTGAAGATCATCAAAAGGGAGTAATCGGAGGTTATTATATCAGATAAAGCTTTAATGCCACTTTGCATCCAAGCTTCCCTCTTATGGTGGTACCTTGAATCTTTATAGAAGGGTTATATAATGAGTAGGGGTTATTGCCCTTTACTTTTTTCTCAGAGAATAATGCTGATAACAAATTTCCCGGTTGTAATTGGTAATTCTCTATTTCAATCCATGGATCTTACGTTAGTGTGGTTAATGATACCATTAACCATACCATAAAGGCAGGAAGCACGGCTTTCCTGCCTTTGAAGAGAGCAGTCGTGTGGTCTCTCGCTCTGCTTTTGCTTCGCTTTTTATCTCCTTGAATCATTTTATTTACATTTTTTTGTTTCTCTCTTTAATCACTTTTATTTACAAAACGAGGATTACTCCTTCTACACACTTCAGCTTTGTGGAATTTATCAACTTTAGTCATGTCGGGACGAAAGAGAACGGAGAAACGTCTGCGACGGCTGTTGTGCTTTGGAAAATCAGCTCAAATCTCTTCAAACACGGATATCTATTGTGGAAACAGAAATGGGACTTAACCCGACTCTTCCAATGAGTGAAAATGTGGGATGAATGGACAGACTGGAATATGTAAGTTATGACGTCATTTCTTTTCCCAAAATCAACAATGAGAATTATTGGAACTAAGTGTGGAGCTAAACCCAAAGTTGACCAAAGCTAAGACATGACAATAGGAGTGAAATAAGGCCACAACTAAATGTTCTGAAGACTTCAAACCGCTTTTTACCCCTTTCTGAAACAACAAAGCCGCTAACAACTGCAGCGACCTCCACCAAGGACAAACTGTGTCCTTATCGTGAGATGGTTCGGTGAAAAATGTAAAAATGGTAGTCCCATGCTCACTATCTCAGTTCACTCTGCAAAAGTTGCTGAGATAAGGCTCTTCTGCCTAAAGTGTTATCTGAGAACAGTGGTGTGCGTACATTATTGATCCACACGGGGGCGGTAGATATCTATGAGAAGGCAAGCGAGAAGTTACGAATGGATTTAAACGCTGTTACTGGATGACCTTCAAGGAAAATGGACATAACAATTTTCCTTAGTGGCCCACTTCCAAATATAGATGGAAAAATTGAGAAGTTTAGCCGTCTGTATCAGCTAAATACATTCCGACTCAATGAGTGTTCACGCAGAGGACTTGGGCTTCATTGAAAACTTTAACCTGTTCTGGAATAGGCACGAGCTTTTTGAAGAAAAAGGCCCACATCTGAACAACTAACGGAGTAAAAGTGCTGATGAAAAACTTTGCATCTGCCCTAAGACCTCAGCCTGCGCAGCGCGTGCAGCCGTCGAAAGGGAGAAAGAAGAAGCAAAGGGCACAGACATCACGACCATCTCCACCGACTCCCGAGGTCTCTGCACCCCCACCGCCTCAAAAGAACTCCACACCTCCACGATTCAAGAAGAACTCAACACCTCCAAGGTTCCAAAAGAACTCAACACCTCCACGGCTCCGAAAGAAATGAGCACAACGCCTCCACCAACCCCCAGCATCATCACAGCACATCTTCATCAGGGTTAACAGCACCACGCAAGCAGCATGGATACAGCCGCAGCAGTGCTGCTTCCATCATTTCAGCAGCAGCCAGTGATCATCTTCACAGCAGCATTGAACAGCAAGCAGAGGCTGCTCCATCATCTATCAGCAGCAGCAAGTGGATCCAGCCGCAGCAGTGGCTGCCTCCCCATCTTCAGCAGCAGGCAGTGGCTGCTCTCCATCAATCTTCCGCGCAGCATGGATACAGCAGCTGCAGTGGCTGCATCCATCCCTCTTCAGCAGCAGCAGTGCTGCCTCCATCATCTTCACAGAAGCAGTGGATACACAGCACAGTGGCTGCTCCATCATCTTCAGCAGCACCTTCCCCACCTACAGCTCCCGTGAAGCTTCCCCCATTACTCCGGCTATAGTCAGGCCTGTACTGGGGTTCCTCAACCACCTCTGTCTCCACAAAGACTTCCCTCATCACCTTCCATAGGACCCGGGCTTGGGTCCCCCCACGCTACATCCACCTCCTCTAGGGAAAAATGAGGACGACCTTTCCCTTTGTTTCTATCCCCGCCTGCACTACTGGATTTACCGGAACAACTCGGCAGCATGATATAGATCGGCGATGAAGACAATTCTCTCTCACGACCCCACTGTAGCCAGAATCAAGAGTCCTATCAACATTCAAACAATCTCCCATAACGTACCTCCAAAGGCCACCAAGGGCGTCCAACTCAAATTCTCCCACAAAATCCACAACCGCCTCCTCTAACCCCAGAGTATTCAACCCCCCCCTCCTGCTCATTTAGCCCCCCTCCCCCCCTAACTCAGCACAAGAAAACCTCCACCTCCACGCCCCCCTCGGTCCACCACCCAACTCAGCCCTGCCCACCTCCCCTACCCATCACCAAAAACCCAGCCACCTTCAACCCCAAGATCCGGCGGTGGGGGGGTGGGGGGGGGGGGGGGGGGGGGAGGGGGGGGGGGGGGGGGGGGGGGGGGGGGGGGGGGGGGGGGGGGTGGGGGGCCCTCCCCGGTGACACTAATACAAGAACCTCAAAGACTCTCCATCCTCCTCCACCGCCTTCCCCTACCCCTATTTTATCTTACAATAGTTAACAGGGGTCTCATGCTTCGCAAGAAAATGCAGTATAATTTAGAGGAGAGACCTGTATGGGCCAAGGTATTGTTGAAAAAGGTGAAATAAATTTGTGATATAAAGAAAGTTTTATTTTATTTAAAAATATGGTGGTTTATAAGTATATATAGGATAAGATTATTAGTGTTAAGGGTGTAATAATATGAAGTAAAATAAAAGATGGAAATGTAATTGTTAATTTGAGAGATTTATGTAAGTTCTATTTGTTTAAAATAGTATTTTTTTTCGGATTTTTTTTTTTTGTGGGGATGAATTTGAGTGTAGGTGGGATTGAGGTAATGATGGAAATTTTGTATGTATTGGGAATTGGTGGTTTTTGTTGATGATATATAATTTGGGATTTGTGGGTTGTAGGTTTGTTTTGTGTAGGTATATTTTTTGGGTGGTGAGGTGGAGTATGGTGATGTGGTAATAGGTGGGAGAAATGTGTTGGGGAGAGGGGGTTGTATGAAGGAGGGGTTTGGGGAATGTGGTTTTGTGATTAGTTTTTGATTGAGAAGAATTGAGGGGAGGGGGGAAGTTATTTGGAAATAAGGATGGATGGGATATGGGGGTTGGGTGTTTGGGGTTTGGGTGGGGGGGAGGATGGGGGTGGTTATTGGGGGGGGGGTGTGGGGGGGTGTGGTGGTATGGGTGGGGTTGTGTGGATGGGGGGGGGGTTGGTGGGTGGTATTTTGGATTTGTAGGTGGAGGGTAGGTGTAAGGGGGGGGGGGAGATATATGATTGGTGGGGGAAAATAAATATGATTTGATATAGAGTTAAGGGGTGGGTATTTGGGGGGGGAGGTTTATGGGTGTTGGGGGTTCGGGGTCGATGTTATTGCCTTTCGGACAGTTTGTATATTTTGTGGACTGTGTGTTCCAAGAACTAAACACCAGTGGAATCCGGGCCAACTGGTACGAAGAAAGACACATAAATAAAATACGGGTAACTAATTATGGGAATGATAAACTTTGAGAATGCACGTATTCTATCTACTTAGAGGAACTGTTTTAACTCTGTTCACCTCTAGTGTGTTTGAAAAGTTCTGGACACCATCCGCTCCTGGTGAAGGTTAAAATAGTGAAAAAATAAGCAGAAGGCGCCGTGGGCTAAAAGCAGACTCGTCAGAGCACAAAGAGAGAGTGCCGGACGGGCCCGAGAGCGTAAGTGGCGCTAGTTCCACACCCCAGGTTTGATTACAAATCTTCAAAGATAAGTTTGTGCGAGTTAAACCAGTGTTTCTGGAACTTAGTACAAGAAGAAAGGTATTTTTCTGAAATGATTGAAGGATGCAGCAGACAATCTGTCGTGTTCTGTTTTTCACAGTAATAGATTAACAACCCCCCCTGTTCAAATTGCCATTAAGAGCTAAATCCAAAACAGAAATGTATGAGTTTGCAACATTTTTTCAATGGGCTAAAGGTTCTAGGCATCAAATAACGCAATTGTCTCCATTCACAGATAACAATCAAAATAGAAAGATATGATATTTGAGGATTAAATTACGTGTGCACTGTAAATGAATCAAGACTGTCCGAAGAGATAATCTACAGTTTGAGCTACTCAAAATGAAGAATGGATGTACTAAAAAATTGATATTACGATTGTATGTTTATGATGGAGGTATGGTAAATTGTTATATAGTAAGATTGTTTAATGGTAATTGTAAAGGGTATTGTAAAATTGGAAAATTTTTTATGATTCATATGGAAAATGAGTTATTGTGAAGTAAGGTGATTTAGGTTATGTAAAAAAGATAGTAAATAGTAAATGCTGGGAAATTTGTGGGGGTTAGGAATTGGTTTTGGGTGATTAAGTATATTTAGATGTTTGAGTTTTTATTTTAGATGTGGTTTTGGTGGATGTAAGGATTGTGTAAATATATTGATATGGTGGTAGGAGAAGTGTTGGTTTATTTAGTGTGAAGGAGGATTATATGGTAGATGGTATTGTGGAGATTGAAGTTGAAGGGGTGTGTGAGATGGGAGGAAGGGTGTGTAGGGGGGAAGTAATGGTTTGTGATGAGGTATGTGTAGTGTGGGTGGGGGGGGGGAGGAGGATGGGGATAAGAAAATTTGGGGGGGGGAGGTAAGGGTGTTATTGGGTAGGGGGGGTTGGGGTTTAGGGGAGATGTATGTGAAAGGGTAAGGGGTGGAATATGGGGAGTGAAGGGGTTAAAGAGGAGGGTTTGAGAGTATGGAGGAAGGGTGGGATGGGTTGTAGGATGTTTATTTGGGGAATTATGTTAGTGGATGTAGTATAGATGGTGAGTGGGGAGATTTGTTGGTATGGTGGTTTTGGGGTTTTGGGGTAAGATAGAAGGATTGGTTGAAAATTTTTGTGTTGGGGGGTGGGTGATGTTTTTTGGTTGGTTAGTTTATTGGTTTTTTAGGTTTGGTGGGGGTAGGGGGGATTTTGTTTTTTGGTGTTAGTTGTGGGATTGTTTGGTGTGTGTTTTTTTTGGGTTTTTTTGGGGGGGTTTTGTGTGGGTGTTGTTGGGGGGTTGTTGGTTTGGGTTTGGTGTTTTTGTGTGTTGGTTGTTTTGATGGGGGTAATTGTTTTTTTTGGGGTATGGTGTTTTTTTGTGGGGGGTTTTGTATTGGGTGTGGTGGGGGAATTGGGATGGGGGGGTGTTTGGGGGGGTTGTTGTTTGGGGGGTTTGGTGTTTTGGTGGTTTTTTGGTGGTTTGTGGTGGGTTGGTTTGGTTGTGTGGTGGTGGTGTGGGTTGGTTTTTTTGGGGGTTTTTTGTGGTGTTTGGGGTGCAGGGCGGCGTGGTGCGTGGTGGCTTGTCACGGGGTGGTGCGCGCGTGCGGGGAGTCGCGCGGTGCGGGGGGTCGCGCGGTGCGGCGAGGGCCGTTCGATGCCGCTTGCGGCTTTAATTTAGATTTATTCTTGTTTAGCCCTAAATCACAACAGTAGTTATCCCAAAGGTCTACAACTGTTGAATTTGCCAACACAGATCAGAGAATCAAACAGCAATGATAGAAAACACATTGGTATTGGTCCATAAGGGGTCCATAAATGTTGATAAATATTGTTGAAACTCATTACTATGACATTGACCTTTTTTTTTTTTTTTTATAAATGAATGTTTTTATTTGGACATTATAAATGAGAAAAACAAAACCAAAGCAATGTAATTGTACATTGATTAAGCAAAATAAATAAACAATCAATGTCCAAAATTGGAGTGGGAAGAAGTAAAAAAAAAACTTGTGTAATCCCACCTCTACTTAAAACTCTGATTTTACAAAATAAATATCTTTCTTTACCATTTGCAACCCAGCACTTGGAAGTTTTTAACATGCTTCATGGACATATTTATCAAAAATAATGACTTTGTATCGTTTTTTAAACTCAAATATTGTTTGACATTTTTTAAGTTTCTCGTCCAATTTATTCCATTTTTTTACTCCACTGACAGTAACACAAAAGCTTTTTAATGTAGTGCGGACCTTTTTAGATTGGAAAAAAACAATCCTCTTCTATTGTAATTTGTTTCCCTTTCAACAAACATATTCCGGATGTGTGCAGGCAGCTGTTTATTTCTAGCTCTGAATAAAATTAGAAGCGTTTGCAAATCAATCAGGTCATGAATCTTTATTATTTTTGACTGAATGAATAATGGGTTTGTGTGATCTCTGTCTCCGGCTTTATTGATGATTCTAATTGCCCTTTTTTGCAGTTTGACGAGTGGATTTAGCGTGGTTTTGTAGATGTTGCCCCAGATCTCAGCACAGTAACTAAAATATGGTGAAATGAGTGAATAGTATAATGTGTGTAGTGATTTTGTATCCAATGTAACTTTTGCTTTGTATAAGATTGCATTACTTTTTGATATGTTCCTGCCGGCAACAGAATAGAAATATTATGAAAATGAAACTCCTACAGACTGGATGTTAATGATGTAACGCTGGCTGAAGCCCCCTGCTGGCCGGACCTGATGGATGACCTTTAGTAAAAGTCCCGGGGGTCGGAGTGGGCAGTAATTGGAGCTGGCCCCAGGTTCTGAGGCTGCGGGTGGCTCTGCTCTGAACACACTCACTGATAAATCAATGTGACGGCTGCATTACATTTCCACTATAAAGCACCGAGACGTAGGACGAGACACGATCCTTTCCCTGGAAACTGCATCACGGCATCTGTCAGTGTTTACTCTACAGATCAGAACGTCCCCCCCAGGCCCATCCAAGGACACCTCATGGTTTCCTGTCAGGTTTTAATACATAAGATAATATTTATGAATGAAATACTTGCAGCTAGTGTGAGAAACGGCTTTCCTGGCATGGTAGCCTTGGTGGCGGTGTAAATTTCCCCAATGTGAGATCAATAAAGTCTGTCTTATCTTTACATCAGTGTTAAATGCATATATAAGATGCCATCCTTCTCTGTGACCACCAGACTTCTGCAGGAGCTGACACACCTTGCTCAGGCCTGTCAAAAAAGCATCATAGAACTACGCAACTTGTGTCTTGTGTCTTATTCACACACAGCTTGGATAGATCAAAACGTTGTTGTATTCTTTGTGCCAAGAGAGATAATGATTGGAGTTTGTACAAAGGCTTTTCAGCTTTCTTCATGGAACACTTAGCAGAATGTTATTGAAGTTGAAGGAGCTGGTCCCAGTCTTTGCAGATAAATTCAAAGAAGCTCTACCTTCTTTTGTGTTCAATAAAAATGAATGATATTTAATTGCAAAATCCCAATAGATTTTCCAGTTGATCCTCTGATGTACATTTTTGTTTATAATCATGAAACCATTTCACCCATCCAGTTTTCTCACGCTCACACCCTGGCCTATACAAAGAAGTAATACATGTTCAATATCTTCTGCCTGTTGACAATGATCACAGAGTCGAGTAAGATGTTTCCATATCCTGTGCAAGGAATTATTCAACCCTGCGTGACCTATTCTCATTCACGTAAAGGCTCTCTCTTCCTTTGCGCTCCTGCTGGGGTTTGTAAGTACCAACATTCTGCTGTACGTTATATACAATGCCGCACAGTATCACAATGAAACTCTACCTGTCTTCATACCTGGCTCTGGTGGTGGGAAGACGAAGCCAAAAACCATGTAACAAAGCCGGCAAGACATCTGAGTGGAACATGTCAAGACCACTCTGAGGAAACTGTCAGGCACAAAAAAACCCACTTTGGTCTCAACTTGTAGAATCCACTTGTAGAACAGGCTCAACATATTCAGCATAAGTGGATCGGAAATCTTCTGTGTTTTCATTTCAATGACCCCTGTCCACTCGATGTTGTTATGGTTCTGCTCTGAGCGCTCCCAATATCTCTTCCTTCTTAATTCATTTGATTACTGTTATTTATTCATACACACGTAAGCAAGACCAGGCACATTTATTTGTAGAGCCCAGTTCATACAGAGGACGACTCAAAGTGCTTCACAAAACAATACATTGGCATAGACATTTAATAAAAGTAAATGAATTAAGAGAACACAAACAAATCACTCGCACAGGCCTCCTACACAACCCTATGTATGTATATTAGGGCCTCTATCTCTATTTGGATGCATTTAGGTACATTATTTGAAGTTAAAAACCGTGAAATGGCAACATTATACTTTTATTGATGCTAGAGTTAGAGATTTTGTTTTATTTGAATTAGTATAGCTATTGTTCACTTAACTTGTGCCGTGTGCTCCTCTTTCTTACTGTTCTATAACTTGTGATGCAACACTGAAATTTCCCCACTGTGGGTACAAATAAAGGATCTCTTAATCTTAATCTCATAAATATACTAAGGACTATAATGAATGAATAAATGCATGTATACACTCTCAAAGCTTGCCCTGAAAACTTTGTGCTTTTCATTTTTTTTTTTTTTTCAAGCCCTTTTTATTTTCCATTTCTGGGTCAGGGGGGTGGCAATGAGAGCTGCACCCAATGCTCATAGCACCAGTCCCTCACTGATCCTCTGCAGGGGGTGAGTCCACAGGAAGATGGCTGCTCTGTCAGTGGTGAAACAGCCTTGGTCTTTCAGCGGGGGCTTCAGGCAACGTGGGGTTAAGTGTCTTGCCCAAGGACAGTAGACATCAGTGGGAGCAATTGGAGTAGGTCCCATGGTGGGAATCGAACTCACAACCTCCAGACTCAAATCGAACTCACGACCTCCAGACTCAAAGGCCACTGCTCTACCAACTGAGCTACTGTCGCCCCCCTTTGTGCTTTTATTATTTGTAAATCTATTGTTAGTTGTAGATTACATCATAAAAACCCACATACACAGTTGCCCACCTGCAGATTCGCTCCCTGATCCATTGCTTTGTTCAGGCCCTTGTGTGAGATTGAACTGGCCACTTGAAAACTCACATCTTTATAAAGTGTTTGGAGAAATCTCAGTCTTGTTTTCAGATTTGGAATAGGTTTACAGCCCCGGTATTTGATGAAAGGGCCTTGACTTCAACCTCCATTACAGACGCTACGACTTCACAAGTTGTGGGAGAACGAAAGAGACAGAACTGGGATGTAAATATATGTTTCAATCTGGAGACTCATACAGACAAAAAAAATAATATCAAAATTGCACATTGGTTGTCAAGTAATCTAACACTACATAACTTACACATATGACTCTGAGGGCAATATTTTCAAGATTACATTTATTGAAATGTGGTTAGGATTTGGCGCTTAGACCTGTTGAAAATCAGAACAGATTAAGTCGAGTCCAGAAGCACCTGGCCCTTTACTCACAGTTTCTGTTCTGACAGTTTGCTCAGCTGGGACAGAGCAGTCCTCAGTTGGTGCAGAGTTGTTCCCAAACAGAGCTTCTTCAGGATATGCATTTTAAAGACAATCGTGCATCACACTTGGCACCACATTTAAAGATCAGAGTGGATACACAATCGGAGTCTTAGTGACTTACACAAGCCCAGCTCACTTGTATATTTTGTCTTGCGTTTGTCCACTTTGTGGAGACTTTGTCCATAGACCCCGGCAGAGCGCTGCTGGACAGCAGAAGGGGAAAGAGATCATGAGATGAAATCCCCGGGGCCTAGACGCTGGTGGTGGTAGCTTAGGAGAAGTTGATCCGAAACAAGGCGGAGATGGGGAGGAGAAGGGTTGCAACATGAGTGAAGCTGCTGCTTGGATAGAGCTTCCTCAACATGAAGCTTGATGAGGGCAGTGCCTGATTGCTGCCAGGTGAGGGCAGTGTGGCACTGCAGCTGATTGACAGAGGCTGTTGCCTTTAGCAACAGTGGGAGGACTGTGTGCTGTGAGCTTAGTTCTTCCTGGCTTCCAATCTGAATCTCGGCTTTCGCTTCATATTTGCTTCGAAAAGTGTGCATGGTAATAAAAATGACATATTGGATTAAGACACTTTTCTACCTCCTCCACAGCCTAACTAACCTTTAACTTACAGGTAGATGATTTCATAGTTTGGAAAGTACCTTAAAAGCCTCCTGTGAGCTCATGTCTGACCTGTCTCCACAGAGGAACATGAATAATACACTATACTGTAGAACTGAAGTGGAGCTGGAGATGATCGACATGGTGAAGTCTGTCATCAAGAACAGAGAACCACAGAATGAGTTGATTTACTGCAGGCATGTCCAAATTAAAGGCCATGGGCCAATTGTGGCCCTCTGTGTCATTTTATGTGCCTCTTTGCCTTGTTAATCTAAAATAGTCTTTGTGATCATCCAGCCAACTTAATCTCAGCCATTTTAGACAGATACATCTTAGCCATGGACTTTGTTCGTATGTACTGACATTTCGTGTGTCACAAAATCACTCTGTTGTTTATGTCGCTGGTGAGATGGAAACATTTGTGATTCAGCCAACTCCAGCTCTGTTTTAGCTCATTCTAACGCTGAGAACAGCCCAAATTCAGATAAAACCATCTGACAACCGTCTGTCGGTCCCTGGACAAGTCTGCTGAACTAAAGAGGCCCTCTTACTAAAATGTTTGGACACCCCTGATTTACTGCAACAAGGAATCATTCTAATTATTCACTTAATCAAGACATGAACAATTGACACATGTATTTCTTTCCAATAAAATGTCCATAAATAAATAAATAAATGCAGCTGTTTCAACACACACTTAGGATTGCATTTGTTTTGTAATCAGTAATGGTTGAAAATGTGAGACAGGCTTCGTATCTGACGATGTTCACATCCAGGTTAAAAACAGTTCTGTTCCGCCATGCTGTTTGCTGTGGTGCAGTCGTCACAATTACAATCACACTTTTATTTCCAGAATCTTCTGCCTGTGACATGAATTGACCACAAATACAATCCACCTGTTCAGGTTTAGGTAAAAAATGTAAAAACAGTGTATTACGTATGACAACTTATTATTGTGTCTGGTTTAATTAGAATATTTGTTTGGTCACAAACCAGTGTTTTTCTTTGGTTTGTGAATTTTGTTTGCTCTGGTGACCAAACGAATGTCCAGGGGCATCAGACTATTGACATGAGGTGTTTTCCATACATTTACATTATTTTAGAACTTGAACAAAATAAAACCCAGTAGATCTATTGACAGAGTTTATTGTTTATTGTTAACAGGGACAATGTTCAAAACCATTTGTCGTTACAAAAAGAGGGGATGAGATTTAGCTACTTTCGTCCTTGAGCAGGTGAACACACATATATATTTACGCAGACTATTTATAAAACTTTTCTTACTTAACTCCCATTGAGTCCCAAATGTGGCACCATCCGCAGACATCTGCATGAGCCAAAACCCTCAGGTGAATGTGTTATCTGAAAAGCGGTCGCTGAAGAGGCCTGTGTGAAAACAGACGGATGTGTGTCAGAGACATGATTTTAATGAAGGAAAATCTGATTTGTGTTGACATTTACATATAAAGTTACATTCAATTGTTCTTTTTTTTTTACTGCAGTAAAACCCTTTCTACTGGACAAAGTACTACACATTTGATTGTTTAACTAATTAATGTGATGTATGATAGAAAAAAACAGACTTCTCTCCACACACACTTCATCCAGCTCATCTGGGGGAATCTCGAGGCGTTCAGCTGGCTTAATAAAATAAAAATAAAGATAATGTACAAGCATTTTTTTCACTTTTGTCTTAATGCACTGAAACAAATAGTTTAATGAAACAACAGTTAGATGCTGCTGACATTTTCATGACAAAATAAAGCAGAGATCTCCAGCCTGTAACTCGGGAGAGGAGCTCATGCCCCATTTCAGCTTTAGAATATTGGTCTTTTACAATCTGTCAAAAGACAATTATTATGCAGGGTTTGAGTTCACCTTGACAAGATTATTATTACCATAATTTAGGGAAAATATTAACTTTGGCATTTAGACTTTGGTGAAAGATTTTTAAGGAAAAAAAATGTAGTAGAAAGTAAAAAATATAAATAAACACTGGAGAGAAGGTCGCAAGCACGAGACAGATGAGGGATTTGACATTTTTGACACAAGTTATGAATTATGCATGCACTGATATTTAAAGTGTTTATCGGTCATTCCCACTCACTTATGTTTCAAAAGTTTTTCAGCATAACCTTCTCAAGTCTGTATCCTTTCAATATAAACAATAAATTAGGAACCCTTCAACTTAGCTCTGTGACTATTTACATTTGTACTTTTTTTACAGTTTCCTTTTTAGTAAAGCACTGAGTTTCCTTGTGAATGGAAGTAGTAATCTTTATTTATAAAGCGCAGACCAGAGTCAAAAGGCGCTTTACAATTGTTGTGGGCATTTCTCTCCACACAGAGATGGGAGCAAGGTCTACATATTTTTAATGGTAGGGGAAACCAGAGCACCTGGAGAAAACGTATGCAGTCACAGGGACAACATGTAAACTCCACACAGATAGACACAAGCGCTAACCACTGTTGACCCTGACGAGGCCTGTCACGATAACACATTTTGCTGGACGATTAATTGTCTCAGAAATTATTGCGATTAGCGATAATATTGTCGTTTTGAGATCATTTTCATCAAAAACAATGACAATGATGCAGGCACACCTTTTCAAAGAGAAATAAACTTTAATTTTTAAAGGCCACCGCTGGAAGTGGTTGGCGGGCTTTGATGCTAACGGAGTTAAGCTAGCGGCTTTTTGTGTAAAGTTATTCTCCAATAATGCAGCTCTGCAGCGTCTCTGTGTCCAGAGACCTTCCAGAGACTTTATATAACAGCAGTATGTGTTCACGGAGGTACGCCATAAGTTTATTTTATTATTAAACAGACTTCCGCATCGGGGAACACGCTAGAACTAGCTGCGCTAGTTTAGTCACTACTAGAGCCTGAATGAGAACTCAGGCTGGCATATGTTTACAACTACTGTGTCCCCCATTGTCAATCCTGGTTTAGTCCTGGTTTAGGTTTCAGTCTGCTCGCTAGACCGCTAATGTTCCTCTGAGCACTTTGTGGCTCTCTGACTCAGGAGAGGAAGGGAGAGAGAGAGATGGGAAAAACTAACAAGCATGCAAATGGAATTTATCGTGGCCAGAAAAATTATCGAGCTAATTTTAATTATCATGCGATTTATTGATTTATTGAATATCGCGACAGGCCAAACCCTGACTTCAAATTCTTCTTTTTTAAGTTACTAGTCACCTGTTAAGAAGATTCTTTGTAAATCCAGCTCTTAAAATAATCAATGATTCTTCAGCCCCTGGAAAAGCCGTGTTCCGTCTTCTTTTCAAAATCTGTTATCAATCTGGACAAAGCACGTTGATAATCCCGTGACTGGTACAAAGTGTTTCTTTAACATTTTTAGCCTGTTGTGGTTTTACTGCAAATGCCAAATAAACTGAATTGTATAAATTTCCAACCATTTTCATGCCTTGGAGATTTTTTTTGTTTTTGACAAATAAAAACAATAATGACACTATTTACATTGTATTTTCATTTTTAAGAGTAGTGATGATAAAAAAATAGTTAGAACATATTAGAGTCCATCAGAGGGAGGAGTTGGATTTGTTTTTCTACCCTGAGAGCTGAGGAGCTGGAAGACTGAGACACCCTCAGTGTAAGAAGGAGCGCTACCGCAGGGCCTTTATCCCCACCGCTGTCAGACTGTACAATAAGTCACTTTAAGTCATTTGCATTAGGACTGAAAAAAAAAAATCTGTTTGCATATTTAATGTACATTTCTCCTGTGTGAGATCAATAAAGTCTATCTTATCTCATCTTACCATACTTCTAAAATTACCAGCTGCAAACACAGACAGGAGATTGTAAAGAACCTCAGAAATAGCCAAAACTAATTTACTTTTGTTTTAAAAGGCATAAAACTATAACCATTGAGTGTGATCATCATATTATAACAGGACTGAGACAGTTACATTGAGCGTTGCTGGATCTAGAGACAA